TGCGAGTTTGTGGCTGAACAGTTAATATGCGTTCCAAATTTGTATACCAGCTTTTACCAACAAATTTGGTTGTTCTCTACATATCGATGTGATCGTCCACAAGCATGCCGACCTGGTCATGCCCATCAAATGGTTGGAGCATTCCTGCAAGCAGTTTTCTGAAACAGTTTATAGAAAGTTTTGGCTGTTTTTTCCTTCCCTTTTTTCTATGTTTTTCCTCCTATTTTATTTTTTTGATTTTTTGTTTCTTTTGGTTTTATCTTTTCCTTTCTCTTTCTTATTTGTCTTTTCTTTATCTTTTCTAAATTTCATGAGTATTGTTTGAATTTGCAGACTCTTTTGAATCAATGAACATTTTTATACCCGCAAACATTTTTTGAATTCACAAATATTTTTAAATTCCTGGATAATTTTTTAAATATGGAAATATTGTCTTGAATATTTTTAAATATTTTTTGAATGTTTGAACATTTTATCAAATTCACGAACAAATTTTTAGATGCTGTATTTTTTTTTTAGAATTCGTGAACATTTTTTTCAGACTTGTAGACAGTTTTTTCATTAATGTTTTTTTGTATTTCCAATTCATGAGCATTTTTTAATATCAATATTTTTAATTGCACGAATGTTATTGAAACATGTGAATATTTTTCAAATCCACAAACATATTTCCAACTTCTTTAAAATGAAAATGTTCAGAATTCATGATTATTCATTTTGATTTTTTTGGATTCACGAATATTTTTTAATTTGCATACAATGTTTAAATTCCACAATCTTTTTTAATTCAATATTTTTATTTCAAATTCATATATTTTTGTATTTTCGGTTTTCTGAAGTAGCAACCGTTTTTGAATTCGTGACCAGTTTTCAAACTTACATTTGTTTAATTTTCAAAAAAATTCTAATTCAGAAACATTTTTTTGTATCAGTGACTGCCGACATTTTTTAACCGGCAAAAACCATTTTTTAAATGAAAATAAACCGGCCGAAATAAGGAAATGTTGTGAAAAGATAATAATGGAAAGAGAAAAGGAAATAGGAACTCGACGCGGAGCGACGCGTCCGCTCACAGCCCTCGGAACAGAACAACAACATTCGGGTCGGGACAATTCAAAAGACCAAATCAGACCGTTGGAGCCTCCTCCCCTGCGCCCACCTCTCCTCCCCTTATTAAAACCTCGTCATCCACCCGAGGAGAGAGAATCGATCCACCACGCCACCCACGCCACCGCCGCCGCCGCCGCTGCCGCCGTCGCACCGGGTAGGTTTCGATATCTTGCTTTCCCGACGGCTCCTTGGCGGCGTCTTCTCGGCCTTCTCGATCTGATTACAACTCATCTTCCTGTTTGCCCCCCTCAGATCCGCCGTTCCTTCGACTTGGCTGGCCGATCGATCCATGGACCGCCGGCCGCCGCTCGCCGTCTCCCCGCGCCGGCTCCGCCCGCGGCCGAGCCACGCCGCCGCCGGCCGCCCGCCCTTGGCGTCCTCCGTCCACATTCCCTCGCCAGGTACGACGTCGCTCTGCTCGGATCCCCGCGTCGAGTTTTTTTGGTTTTGCTCCGTTTCTCTTTGATCTTTCTTTGGTGGGGTTCCTCCTGTTCGCGTTTCGATCCTGCTGTTCGATGCGTCACGATCCTGTCATTTCATCTCGGTTTATTTACGGTCTCGATCAGCGACCAGATTGTTTCCGTCCCAGATCTGTTCAGAAATCCCCCCTAGTTCAGAAACGATTTCTGTTTCTCTTCTGATGATAAATGCACGATTCAGTTCTGCCTTTTTTGTACAACCGTAGAATCTTAAAGTTTTGAATTCTCACTGATTTGTTCTCGCTGTACGGATCCGTCCGCTGTGCAGGATTTAGCAAGAAAACTCAGACGCCGATGCGCTCGTCCATCTGCGCTCTGCCGCCGCCGTCGTCCTACTCCTCCTACCTCGAGACCAGCCCGCGCCCGAAGCCGGACTTCGCCGCTGCGACAAGAGCTGCGGGGAAGGAGAACCTCCACTTCCAAGACGCCGACGACGGCGACGAGGCGGTGCCTTTCAACCTCGCCGACGCGAGCACGGACGACTGGGCAGCGGCGGTGGCGCCGACCAGCCCGCTGTTCGAGAGGGGCAGGCTCTACGACCTCTACTCGGCGCGGCGCAACGAGCGGCTCAAGCGCAAGCACGGCTGGTACGCCGCCGGCGAGGAGGAGGCGGGGGCCATGGCCGAGGACCCTTGCGTGGCCGTGGAGCTGTCCAAGCGGCGGGGCGCCAAGAAGGCGGCCGGGGCCCCCGAGTCCGCGGTGAGGAGGTCGATGCCGGCCGCAGCAGCAGCAGAGTTCTCGCAGAGCTACAGGGCCGGCGGCGGCCTGAGCGCCATGAGGTCCTCGCTGAGGAGCAGCAAGGAGATGAAGAAGCCCTCCGCCGCGTCGTCCTGCGCCACCGCCGCCAAGCCCTCCGCGGCCAAGGGCAGGAGGGTTGGCTCGCAGTCGTCCGTTCGCAGGATCTGATGATGATCCGTGTGCTGCTGGAAATGACATGGCGGCTGTGTGCTTCTTCCTCCTTGGTTCATCGTTCGATGGTTGGGTTGTTGATAAACAGTACTAGTGCTACTAGTGTGGAGCTTGGAACTGGTTTGGGGGCAATATAGCTGCGTATTTGGTTACATAATTGATAATCCGATTCGTTGATTTCTTGTGTGCGTGTTTGGTTACAGAATCTGATAATTTAGGGCGGTGATTTGTTCTTGACGAATGAGGCAATAACGCAGGCAAATTGGTTGATTGGTTCAGTACTTCAGTTTGTGAGGTGGGCAACTTGGAACGCCAGGATCAATAACCATGTCTCGTCCTCCGTCAGTCGATCACGTGTTCAATAGACTTTCTTCATCCGAAAATACCTGTCGAAAAAATAATAAAAATAGATGTATTTGAAATTAAACTACATCTAGATCATTTCTTCGACAAGTATTTTCGAAGGGAGTATCAAAGAGCACACAAGTATCGAAGGCGGTGGCTCACGGTCATTGGTTCATAAGGCCTGCGATTGCCCGGGCGTCGCAGGCGGCCTCCTCCAGGTCCCGTGTCGGGACAATGGAACGGGCCGAAACCGCGGGAGAGCAGCGGCAAATAAATTTGATGACCGTCATTGGACAACCAAAAATTTCCAGATCATTGAGTTTGCCTTAAAGTTGTCCTTTTCAAAGGCCGATCACTCCGAAATGATTAATAGAGCACGAGCTCAAGGGAGCCCGTTTCAAAAATATCATATTTTCATAGCGCAAAATTATTTTGAAAAAAACCCTCAAAATTATTTTGAAAAAAATACATACAGAAATACATGCATAAAAATGGATGCATACATACAGAAATACATACATACATACATACAGAAATACATGCATGAAAAAAATACATACAGAAATACAGAATAAGTTTCCTGACATAGCGCAAAATTAGCCAACTACATACATGAAAATGGGCCAATTTTTTTTGTTTGTTAGTTGCTGGGATTTTCTTTTGTTTTTGCACACCTTGCAAATCATAATACTCACTTCGTCCGGAATTACTTACTGCGGAAATGTATAAAAATGGATGTATTAAAACTAAAGTACATCTAGACACATTAACTTCCCCGACAAGCCTTTTCAAACAGAGGAAGTATTTTTTAACGAAAATTTACAGATCCGTCACGAATATTTATAACTTTTCACAGTTTTTTGTATTTTCTATTGAAACTTGGAAATACCATCTTTGAAGTTTTTGAAAAAAAAGTGCTCCAAGAGACCGTCTTCCAAAAAATTCGCACTCCCCATTTCTACAAGTATTTATCCGGGCTTACATTTTGGGATGAGCACTACTATTCCTTCATAATCACACAAAAGAGCGGGGAGGTGTGGGTCTTTGAAGACGATTCTAGAAACAAATTGAATAATTCCATGAAGAGTGTTTTCTTAGAACAACTCCATTTTTTTAAGCGAAAAAAACCCCATGGTGTTTTTGTTTTGAGACAATAAACCACACTTTATTCAATTCCAAACCCCATGGTGTTGGACTGGAGGAAAGCACAATTCCACGGCCACCTCTTGGGCCTGGGCCGACCTAAACCAAGCCCATATGGACACAGACGCAGAACGCGTTGTGATTACAGCCCATCTTACTTACTGTCTAGATTCTTCTAAAAAAACTTGGGTGCGTTTGGTTGCAAGGGCGGTCATGAATGGGTTGGGATCGTTCAGAAAATAGACATGTTTGGTTATAAAGCACATGAATGGTTCGAACCAAAAAAAGAGAATATGCCATGAAGATGCTAAACCGTTCCACCCAACCAAATCGGTCGAATCAAATGGCCACCCTTTGCATGCATGACTATGTGAGCATGACTGGTGGTCCCGTCCTAAATAATTAGCTCACCACTTATATTCAGCCAAACACATGAATTGAATGGTTCAATCCCAAAAAAAATTGAACGGTCCCAACCCATTTATACGACACCTTCAACCAAACGCAATACTGTCTAGATAGCCCTAAAAAAATTACTGTCTAGATCTCTGTCCTGGGATAAGCACCTAGTTTTGCAGAAATCAGCAAATCTTTGCCTGAACAAAGCATGCCGCTAATAAAGCCGATGTCAAAGAAAAAGCACGCCGTTAAACGCTCGAATAGTCGCCGCCGGCACGACCACGGGCGTCGAATGAGGCCAACTACATTCGGGGACCTAAATCTTGAGCAGATTCTGCATCAAAGAACACACAACAAAGGTACTACAAAGTCCAGAACTCCAGATGCGAGAAGACGTCACATGGAAGCACTCTTCCTCAAACCAGATCTATACGTTGAAAACAAACGTATCATTTTCTACCTTACATATTTCAAAAGAAGCATATGGGGTTCCGATTTCCGAACAAATCAAAGCTTACAAACAAGGGGAACCCCTAAATCCCACGCACTCGGCTCGTCAAGATCCATCTCCTACGTCCCCATTCACCTTAAAAAAATAGATGAATGGTGGTAGTCCTAGGGGCATTTGGGGCGGCCGCTCTTGGGGGATTTCATGTCGCGGTAGCAGGGGCACTCGTCCTTGGGGGCCAGCGGCCCCAACGGCACGCAGCCGGCGCACTTGCCGCAGCACATCATGCACAGCCCCATGCACCGCCCGGCCACCTTCTGCGAGCACCGGTTCTTGCACTTGCCCTCGCACACGCCGTCCGGGACCGGAACGCCGCCGCCACCTCCATCTGCACCTGCATCTGCACGCCCACCCACCACCAGAAGTTCTTTTCACCAGGAAGTGGTGTGCATTAAGAACAGATCAAAAGAGTGTCTGTGTCCGGTGAAGTTACCTGCGGCCACGGCGAGGTCCTGGTACGAGGCGGCGAGGAAGAGGGCCAGGAGGGCTACGGACACCGGGAGAGGCTTCATCGCCGTACGTCTCTTCTTCTTCAATTTTGTCCAGGAGATGTTTGGCAAAAGCAGCCACTTATTTGGCTGAGGAGAGGTGAAACTGCGACGCCGAGCGCGTGACTTGAGTGAACGGCCGGAGTCCGCGGAGTAGGCTGTATTTAACCACGCAGGGGAAACTTGTAGGACCACAGCTGGCCACGGTTTCACTTTCATCAGTGCATCCACCCACCACCTACCTCTGAGAGCATGCTTGGATATGTTTTAGTCTCATGACTAAAAGTTGTGGGACTAAAACTTGCTAGTCTCATCCATGCTTGGATCCAAGTAATAAAGAGACTAAAATCTAGTTATTGAGCATTTATTATCCTCCAAACCCTCCAATCCAGAACTAAGGAGAGGAATTAAATGAGGAGAGAGAGAGCTAATACATATTTTAGTAGGTTTCCCATGACTAAAAGATTTTAGCCTCAAGACTAGTCCTAGCCTCTCTTTAGTCAGGGGTGCTTGGAACTTTAGCCTCTAAAAGAGACTATTTTTAGTCAGACTAAAAATAGTCCCTTGTATCCAAGCACCCTCTGACCCTTTTTGTGCAAAGAGTGGGACGGCCATGAATGCCAATTAACGCTTGGATGCATGCAGAGCTTGCCTGCTTCTCTGTTGTGTGCCCATCCATGCTTTCGCATACGTGACATGATTTAATTGAGGAAGATGATTAGATTAGAAAGAAAAAAAAAGAAAAAAAACAGCCGTAGGATGGAATGGAAGCACGAATGGAAGCATGAAGAGGAAGCAGGCAAGTTGGATCCACCAAGGACACACAGGTGAATTTGGCGGTATTTACATACCCAGACAGACGGCCACGCACCACCAATTATCTTTGCTTTCTTCAACTCGTACACCCACTGTATACAAAAATTCTACACCTACGGTCTGCAACCCAAGGAAAACTCCCACGGACAGACTTGTCCACGACCTCGCCAATTCCTTCCTCCCTGATTTTCAATTATGGGTCCACTGTATATGCCCTCCCTGATTTACAAGTGTTCCAGTTTCAAATAAAAAAAATCGGCTGCAATCAACACATTTTCTCTCCTAGAGAGCTCGAGCCACCACATCTACTCTTATAAAAAACCGAGTTGATGATGATGGTGTGCCTGCCATCTTGCAGTGTAGACCATTCGATCTATATCTGATGGATAGAAAACAAACTATGACAATTTTGCAAAAAGATACCCGCATCTCTCTTCACATTTACAGATAAGGCATTCTCTCGTTCATCCTTATCTCCCACAACTTTATTGTTGAGCAATTAAAAAAGGAAGCCGCTGGAACAATCTGGTATGGTGGTCACTGCCGGCATCGTCCATCCCTATGCCTCCGCTTAGTCCGACCGCCAATTACCACCATGCCCCACTTCTTCTCACCTTATCTCTCCTCTTTCTCAAGATATCATTAGTTTTTACACATGAGATTACTCCCGCATGGGTCAATCACAACAGGTATTTGTAAAAAAATGCATCTTGATGTTCCGTGAAAATGCACGGACATCTTGCTAGTCACAACCTAAAAATTCTCAGTGACCTTATAGGCAGGAGAGAGAGCGCGTGCCCCCATGCCCGTACTCGCATGCAACACTACTAGAAAAACAGCTATAGCCAATATGGACACTAATGTCGCACTATACATGTGGTGCGTTATTACTAACTAGTAATGGCGCATCATGTGTAGGTGCGCCATTAGTAACCAAAACAGTAATGGCACATCATGTGAAAAGTGCGTCATTACTAAGTTTGACCAAGGTTTGACCCACTCATACACATAGTAATGGCGCACTTTGCATAGGTGCGCCATTACTAAGTTGACATAGTAATGACGCGTCTTTACAAGATGCGCCATAACTATGTGTATGACTGGGTCAAACCTTGGTTAAACTTAGTAATGACGCACTTTGCATAGATGCGTCATTACTATGTCAAACTTAATGAGCAACGTCGTGCCTCTGTCTATGGGCGTGAGTCGAGCGAGCATTATAGACAGTTACGGGGCATTACGGGGCTAGGCGCCCAGCCCACCAGTTAAATCAGGGGAGGGGAAGGGAGGCGGTTAATTAGGAGAAGAAGATTAATTAGGTCAATTAAAATAGGACAGCTCAGCAGGTCCGTGAAGTCCGTGAGCCAGGTGTCCGTGCGTGTAGCATTTTTGAGAGGCAAGAGTGGCCCGTGTGACTACATGGCCCTGTACACGAACGCGCAAGGCAAAACTGATACTAGCAAGTTTTTGTACCAAGACAAAAGGACGAGATAAACCAAGACAAGTGACAATTTGGAGGCTGTGAATATGTTGAAGAGTAAAGACATAAATAGATCAAGATACAAGAAAGCATGTCCGAACGTAATTTTTATATTACTCACATCCGTCGTGGTTGCATAGATACGAGCAATTTTTTGTACCAAAGAAAGAAGACGAGATAAACCAATACAAGATCATGCATAGATAAAACCCTTCGAGAAGTTGCTCACGAAATACAGTTCACATGACAGCTCCAACCCTCAGATGCTTCTAGTACTGAATAAAGCAGAATATCTTCACGTAAAACCGGGGAAATCCATGATCAACACAAAGACACGATATAACACACGACACGACACATGCCCTCGTTATTTAGGATATACTATAAGGCAGGCCAGTTTCTAATCCAGTTCGTGACTCTCCAGGTACCGAAATGCTTCATCTTCCTCCGGCACATCCGCATGCATGCAGCTAACCTTCCACGGGACGCTGTGACAAGATCGAGGAGAAACAGGGTGTGTAAGGCATATCTGAAAACTAAATCCCAACTTCAGATCCAAGAGCTAGCAGACCAACACGGACGGGCGGCGCAAGAGCATACCGGCATGATGCTGGCGGTGACAGCGAGGTCCACGACGCCGGCGACGAGAGCAGCGATCCGCACACGGAAGCACTGGAAGTGGCACGGCGCGAGGACGCTCAGGGTGCCGTGCACCAGGAAGTAGGTGGCGACGAACACGCAGAGGGAGCTGCCCAGCATCCGCCCGAGCTTGGACGCCGTCGGCGGCGGGGCGGCCTTCCGGCGCGCCAGGGCCATGGCAGAGAGCACCTGCACCTCCATCGTGCCCACCGCGTAGACGCAGAAGACGAACACCGCGCTGTAGATGTCCATGGCCACGCAAGCAGAGCAAGACCCTAGCTAGCTGCAGATGGTTTTTTGCCGCAGCTTTGTTGTGCGGAGGCCGGCGAGAAGCTCCTGGATGGCTGCCTATATATATAGCCACTGGCCAGCAAGCGGAGGAGGAGGGACGGGGTGGACGGCCGGGTGGTTGACGCTAACCGGTCGACTGAAGATGCTCTGGTAGCTGGACGCCGGGCGTTGGAGATTATCACACTTGAAAACGTACGCTGGAATTGCACACACGATCGTTCGCAACAGTAGCGTGGAATGTGATGCCTGGTCTAAAAAACGAAACTGCTGTGTGGACGACAACGTGCTTGCACGACAGTGAGACGACGGGCAATCCAGCCGTCAACTACGGTTTGATGCTATGCATGGACGATCTGATAAGTGCTGTCGTCCACAAATCGTCCGTCAACATCGTGTGCATAGCAGCACTGTCTAAAAAATGGAAACTGATAAGGCCGGTAGGCACACACCTACACGACTGAACGACAAAACGACCCGCCGGTTTGCACTACTTTGGACACAGTGTGTACCAACTCGTCAACTCAGGATTAACCTGCCCGGCACGTTTGTTCAGGCTACCTCATCGGTGCATAAATGCATCTATATATATATACCGACTAACAAAGAAGGAAAGGTTTCTGTCCGTCCAATTTTTTTTTACTATTTTCGAGCATAAGAGCATCTACAACGCACCTAACTAATCCGCCGCGTGACCCGTCACCCTTCATTTTGCTGTTTCCGTAGCCGCCCTCTTCATATCTGACCACTCAAAATCATGCAACATACTACTAGCAAATACACAGATCAACACACATAATTCACATGCTAGCAAATGGACATGGTCATCATACAACCAAAAAATGCCATAGTTTATCACCAGACAATACTAAGGCTCAGTTCTTTTGACAAAAGAACCGGGCCTAATTCACACTAAAAATACTACATAAAATGGAGACGGAGAAGGGCGGAGGAAATCACCATTTCCTCACCGACTCCTTCCCGGCCCTTATGGTCGTCAGTGCAGTTGTACCCTTCCGTGTAGGCATCGGAGGCGGAAGGGGCAGATCCATTGGAGCTGGAGTCATTGTCGGAGGAGAAGATACCGGACATCCTCTGGTCTGCGCCCGCCTGCGCCTTCACCAGTCAGGCGGTGTTTGCTTTAGCGGCCGCCTCGTGCTCCGACTGCTCGATGGCAAGCCGGAGGCTTTGTGTTTTTACGGAGGAGCCGCCGCGCGTTGGTCTCCTCCTATGTGAGGGAGCGGCGGAGAACCGTTGCGAGGAACTCATCCTACGGATCCTATAACTCGCATGCTTGCTACACATGTCCGAATTCCTTGGCCACACATGTATCCCCGGAATACCAAGGTCGGCATTTCGGGTTACTCCAGTTCCCGGACTCCATAACCCCGTGTCCCCGGGCTTGCATGTGTGCAAAAGATGGAAAATATCCCTTGTACCCCTGACTTATCCCCCACCTCCTAGGACCTATATAATTTGTACCTCCTTCATTTTCTAGGCTTAGCAAAGCATTTAGGCTAAATCTTGAAAGAGCTTTGCTCATCTATCCCCTCCTTTGGAGATCAAGGCCTCCTGTAGGAGAAGAACCCCGTCTGGTTAATCAAGACCTCCATAACCTTTGGATTGGGGAGGATGCAGCTCTCAAGACCTCATCTCTCCTAGAGGTTTGGGAAAAACTCTAACTAGTTATCCTTTTGTTGCTTATGGATCTTGAGGTGTATCTTCCCTTGGACGAGATTTGAGTAAACTTGTGTTGTGAACCTTGTTCTTGTGTGTTTCCTCTTTGTATTTCCTTGTGTTCTTTGATCCCCTCAAATCCACTTCCAAATTGTGAAGATTGGTTCACTCCTAGGGTTTGTCCTATTCATGGAGCAAATGGGGTCTAAGGATGAGGTACTGAACAACGAGTTGCTCAAGTTAATCTAGATCAACCACATGTGATGCGGTTCAACCCGCTATGAGTCAAAGAGTGACACCAAGATTATAGCTAGGGAATCCATGGTCATTCAACCACAACTTTCATCTTATAGGCTGAAATATTCATGAGTTTATCCTCCTTGACAAGGGTGATTACGTGGAAATCTTACCCTTCTCTGGGTCGTACTCTTTGGTGGCATCACTAATAATCGACAACACTCGAGTTCGCCGCATCATAGCCGACGACAGGAGCTCATTCAACATTATCACGAGCAAGACCCTATAGCAAATGAAAATCCCTCGCTCTGGGACCAACCGAGTCTCGAAATCTTTCTATGGGATAGTTGTAGGGACGACTCACATGCCCATAGGCCAAATCATTCTTGAAGTGGTCTTCGGGTAGAAGAACAATTACTGGATGGAGCGTTTCACCTTCGAGGTGGTTGATTTCGAGATGGTCTACAACGCCTTCTTGGTCCAACCCCAACTTGCGCAATCCACGGGTGTACTGAGTTACACCCGCATGATGTTGAAGATTCCAGGACCTAAACCTGTCATCACCGTCCATTGCTCAGTCGAGAACCCCGTGGGGTGCGACAAACATAGTTTCAACTTCGGGGCTCACCTCTCTAGTCATAAACCGATGAAGTTGATTCTGATGTCTCGGACAAGTTGACTCCCCAAACCAATTTCAACAGCAAGTTGGGCCTACTCCACATCAAGTCCAATGCAAGCTCCACTCAAGACGAGTTAAAGGAGACCCCTCCATGCAATAATAAACCCGACAAAATATTCAAAATCACTCCATTGTCATTCTTATTAATGGATTGCCCTAGAGAAAGTACTTGTTTCAGGTGAGGTTGAATTGACCACTCAACTGCTCAAATTTATCAATATTCTTTCGCTCTCACTATGTCAAGTATAAATTATTGTTGTAATACTTCTCATCAAAAATTGTTGCACTCCCTTGCACTTGGGGGATATCAATGGGCTGCTTGAACCCCTTGTTAATGCCAAGAATTCCAAGGTAGATTCAAACTAGAATTTGCAAATGGAACCAATTTGGGCTAACACCAAAGTGCACATAACAAGGTATGGTGCAGATGTATGTAGCTATGTACTACATATCTACTTGCCTAATATTGGGACGTTGATGATCAACTCGACTCAGACTTGGTTATGGTTTGAAACAAATCTTTTATGTATAACTCCTAATGACACGGAACACATATAGTTTGATCATGGATGATATCTCTTCAAGAACTTACTCTAGTACTAAGCAGTGTCTAGTATGAAAACATGTAGTTACTTATTATTAAACATCTGAAACAACATTATGATTAAGCATATTTAAATACCACCAAATATATGGGACAAATTACCACTTTGCCTTTTTGCTATTTTGTTCAAGAAAACATATGTCTTGGTAGTTAACTAAGCATCCTAGGGATTCTTTGAATGGAAATGATTTTGTTTAGTTGACATTCATGCTAAGAGAGTAACAAACTTATTAATCTTTAAGATCATTTTAGTTATATAAGTCAAGAAATAAACATTATTGATTGATCTATTTATTTTATTCACATCGATTCTGCTGCTATTTTCAGGGATATTCCATCCGAATCCTAGAGGTCCTGTTCCCAGAGCAATTTTATTTAATTAGGTTTAGTTTTTTAATGGGTCTTGCCCATGAACAATTGGTCTAATAAATCATGATTATTACAGTTCTGATGCATAACCTGAGGTCACTTTTCTGGCTTTTAGTTATTTTTCCTGAACTTAAACGTGTGCTACTGAGGTACATGTACTACTATGGCTAATAGGCATGCACATGTCGGAAAATACACATAAGCTTCTGGGTGCTCCACACCCCTATACGAATATTAAACATTAAAAATACCAAAAAAATAAAAAAATAAACTAAAATTTGGGGATATCAAATCTGGGTTCTCAATCTACCCCCGTATAAAATTTTGTGAAAAAATACCAGCACATGTATCTGTGGCGAAGAAAATACTATCCGAACAAAAATCCATCCAAGCAGTTTTGTCTATACACAAAAATTTATTGTCCTTTTGCCATGAATACGTTTCCTAGTATTTTTTTCATGAATTTTCACACGAGAGTAGATCGGGAACCCAGGTTTGATATCCCAAAATCTCAGTTTTTTTCAAATTTTTCAACATTTTTTGAATTTAATGTTCGTATAGGGGTGTGGAGCACCCGGGTGCTACAAATCCGCTTCCATGTACATGTCTGCTTCCGTGTCTTGGCCTATTATATATGCACGCAAGTTAAAGAAACATGCAAACATCACTAAATTTGATATGCTAGCAGAAATAATCCTTTAGCAAATCCACTAAATTTCCAGAGATGTGCCTGTGTATTTGTTCAATCAATAATCAAGTATATAATCTTCTAGGAGGTAGTGTTCTAAAAACAATTTCCTACAGGAATGAGCTTGTGTAAACTTTACTGAACATGTATATCACATGTTTCCATTTGTGACGACCTGCAAGGATTAAATGACCTGAGCCTGATTCATGTTGCATATATATCCTTCCCTGACATAATCTACTTTGCTGCTACAATATACACTAACCATGGTATTTCTTCCTCTGTTATTGTAAGAATTACAACCTGATGAGTTAAAAGGCCAAGCAAGAACACCCCCCGAGAGGTGACCTGAGCTGAGAGCTGTGGTAGGCGTGAGCTCCCTGCCGGCCGCCACCCCGGCGCCGGCAGCCACCGCACCTGCCGACGCTCACGTGGGCTCGGCGTCCACACACCTGTCGTGCTCCCTTCCCGGGCACGGCAGCCACTCCCCGGAGCTCCGCCGTGTAGCTAGAGGTCTCTCTTTTCGTGCCAGCGCCGTTTTTCTTCCTCTTCCAAGGTACGCTGACCATCAGGTTTGGTTTCTTCTTTGGTGATCACTAAGTTACGACCCAGATTGTGCTGCTCCTCTCTGTCTTCCCCCCGCTGCTTGGCGTCCTACCCCTTCTTCTCGCTTCTGTTTCTCCTTGTCTGCTCCTTTTATTCATGTCATG